GTAAGAGATAGAATAAAATATCGTTATTTAAAAAAAAAATCACTAATCGATAAAGCCGATCAAAAATCGATAAATTCAACTTTTGTTCTTCGATTTTGTTCAAACTCGGTATGTAGGTTACTTACGTCATGCCGAGCTCAAAGTTACCTCATTTTTATTTCTACGCCACTGCGTTTCGCGAAAAACCGCGAAAAACGAAAAATCGATTTCAACACAAAACCATTCCAACAGAAATTTTAAACTAAAATCTCCCTCAATTTTCAAGGAAAATACAAACTACATTCAAGTGTAGCCAAAAATATGTTGATTGTATAACAGTCATTTAATTTGATAATTGAATCCACCAATTCAGTGAAAACCCGCGTAGATAGCGAAAACTGAGGATTTTTACATATTTCTTTCTAATTTTTCTTTGATCTTGCAACCAATTTATATTGAACTTAACAATTGCTTGATAAATGTATCCTCTTTTACATCCATGGTATTACACTGACAAATTGAATTTCCAAAAAAAATCATTGTAGTCAGAAGTGGGTCTTCTGTCATCTGTTTTACCCAAACTTCGATTGAATAAATACAGATTACTTCTGTTATGTCAGAAACCGCACTAATTCAAAATGATTTTAATGACAGTATTTCAAAGTAATTGAAGAAGATAGAGTCTGTCACATCTAAACATGATGCTGTTTTTGCGCCATTCTATTTGAGCGCTTTTTCTGATCGACCAGCTGGGTGTGGCTGCTAGTATAAAATAAATTGATCATTTATAGGAAGCAATATATAAAGAACAAATGGTCAACGTTCGGAAGAAATTACAAGAAAAGAAATTAATTAAAGAAAATGGCTGAGTTGAAGTAGGGAACGAAGGAAGGAAAGAAGGAAGAAACAAAGGAACGAACGAACAAAGGAAAGAAGGAAGACAGGAAGGAATTGAAAACCAAAGGAAGGAATCTTGTCCATATAACCTATCACTTCCGTGAGTCTGTCCGTCCGTCACTCATACCTTCTAAAATAGCCATAAATTGACTGATTGAAACCAAATTTTGAGGAGAAATGCAAACAGGTGAAGGAGTAGAAAATACAGTTATTTTTACTAGGGTGCGATTCTTAGTACAACTAATTTTTATTATTTCTTTTATTATTTAACAAACAACATATTCATACTATTTTAAAAACAATTTAATGATTAAAATAAGAAAAAAATTATTTAATAAAAATATTTAAAAAAATAAAAATCGTCAAAAAGACGGCCCGTTGCCTATTTTTTTCACATCTTCACGTCTTTTATACCTCTTGGTATCGTCTGTATTTTAATCATTATCCCCAATACCGTTCAGCCATCAATTCGCTAAAGCTGGTCAGGAAGATCGCCCGTTGCCCATTCTTCCATTTTAGATTCGATATATCTTGTTATTTTCAAACTAACCAAGGCCTTATTCTTCAAAATTTAACAAACAACATATTCCCAGTATTTTAAAAACAATTTAATGATTAATATAACAAATAATTATTTAATAAAAATATTTTAAACAAAAAGAAAATGGTCAAGAAAATGTCCCGTTTCCCATTTTTTCACATCTTCACGTCTTTTATAGCTCTTGGTATCGTCTGTATTTTAATCATTATCCCCAATACCCTTCAGCCATCAATTCGCTATAGCTGGTCAGGAAGATCCCCCGTTGCCTATTCTTCCATTTTAGATTCGATATATCTTGTGATTTTCAAAATAACCAAGCCCTTATTCTTCAAAATATGTTCAAGAAATGTAAGATCTCTTTGATTCTGAATAGTCTGCTTCTTTTATGTACCGTGTCTGTTCCAGACGTAGGAAATAATGCCACACAATCTCACCTGTCTCTTGTTGCTCTTTTCTCTGTTAATTATCCCAAACCCTGTTCAGCCATCCATTGACTGAATCCCATCAGGCATGCTACGCGCTGTTCTGTCCCTTTCTCCCTCTCTATGTCCTGTGAGTATCAGATATTTTCTCATTAGGGGCTCCAGAAATTTCGGTTGCCTTTTCCTGATTTTACGAATAAGTTTTCTGTTCGTTTCCATTCTCTCCAAAATCTCGTCTTTGCTCATATGTTCGCTGTGGAACTTAAGGGTCAATGGAATAACTTGATCCAACCAGTCTCTCTCTTTGAGGTTAGCATCAACCATGCTGATAGAAGGCAGAAAAAGTGTAATTCATATGATTAACAGAGAGCAAATTTGTTTTGGAGGCGATAAATATGCCTCTCAATTAACGCAAGCAAAGGTTATCCCCCCCTATGATCTTGATTTGCATATGTCGTCCAAGCCGCAGTACTACCAATTTTCCTTTATTTTTTTTTATTATTTAACAAACAACATAATTTAATGATTAAAATAACAAATAATTATTTAATAAAAATGTTTTTTTTTTGCATATTTTTACTTTAATTATTTATATATACAAGAATCCATTTTGTCGATCAACCTCAGTTTGCGAGAACTGTCAACAGACCATACGGCTGAACACTTCAAAAAGTTATAATTTGAATCCGGAAAGAAATATTTATAAATGACCTGTTGTATATTGCATGCTCAAGAGTAAGAAATGCTCAGAATTTATTCTCCGCTGTTAAAAAGGGAAAAAATTAATTAAAAAGTATTGTTTAATCTGAAGTTCTATCAACTTAAATTTAAGAAATTATTAAACCGCGAAGTAGGGTTAATGTCAAAATATTTTTCGAAACAAATCACCTTATGCAAATTTCATTGTTTGCTTTTCGAAACTGAACGAAACAAAGAGTTCTCGATAAAAAAAAAATGTCAGCGATAACTTCAACGTCAGCGTATTGAGATGAAAAAAATTCTAGCAAGAATAAACGGGAATACCGAAAATACGGGTAACACTACAGTGGAGTAATGGATAGTTCGAATTCCAGTCAAATCCATTCCATTCACTTACTTGCTAATACCCTTGGGAAAGGTATAAATCTACTAATTCTCCCTACCTCCCCGCACGCCAGATATGGGTAAATAGCAGGACAGACCGGGTTCTATAGGTTTGGTTGGCAACTGGCCTATCGCAGGAAGAAATGACACCCTAGTGCTGGAAAAAAAACTGCTTTGTCAGTCATGTATCGAAAGCTCCATGATCGCCTAAGTGTGTATCACGCATGGCATATAACTGACTGAAATTCTCTTACGTGCTCATACCTTTCGCAAAGGTATGAATCCTCTTCTTCTTCCCCCCACACCACCAGATATGGGTAAATAGCAGGGTAGAGAGAGTTCTATAGCCTTGGATAAGAACTGGTCTACAGCGGAAACAAATGGCAACCTACTGTGGGAAAAAAATCTGCCACGCAGTCAAATAACTGACTGAATTCTCTCAAAACGTCTAGCAGTAACGAGGCAAAGGAAAAAAATGAAAAAAATGCATAAAAATTAGAACTGATTTGAATTAAACCATGATTACTTATATATTACGTTGAAACCCCTACTTTTTGACCGAACACCGAATATTAAACAATATTGAGCCTGGTCACTATCTAGAAATGTGACCGCTTGGGAATACCAGTTGCTTTAAGCTTGGATATGCGTGTAATACGATGGATAACGGCTCGGAATGATAAATCTGAGATCCGAGTTCGAAGTCTACTCGACTTTGTTAAATTCAGTTGCATGTAAATATCCTTCCGAAAGATACGAATGCAACATTTCTTCCTCCAGCTATGGATTAAATAGCAGTATAGACAAAGATCTATGGCCTTGGTTATCTACCAATATACCACAAAACGTATAACGGCAGCCAAATCCGCCGAATCAATAATGTATCAAATGGAAATATGTTCGTCCAAGCCTTTATCAGGAATGACACCAAAAGAACGAAGAAAAAAATACGGGAGAAAAAAAAAAAAAAAAAAAAATATTAAGAAAGAAGGATTAAACAAAAGAATGAAGGAATGAAGAACAGTGCCATAAAACAACATTCTTCTTCTTCTTCTTCTTCTTCAACCACCAAATGATTTAATTATTTACTTCTTTATCTAAACCTTTCCAAACACCTTTTCTACATCACCTGAAGAAATTTCATAAATTCGAAAGAAAAAAAAATTCTTTCTTCAGCCAATTTTGGAAACCAATATTTGACAAATAGAAAAAAATGGCGAAGAAAAAATAACAACTCCCATTATAATATGGAAGAAAAACAAAAGAAATTATCTTTGGCGAAAATATTTAATAAAAGAAGAAAAACAAACTTTACTTTCCCTTTATTAAATCCATCTTCTTCTTCTTCTTCTTCTTCTTCTTCTTCATCGTTATCACTATCTTATTATTCTTATTGCATTTTCCTAAATTTCGTGTTCAAATTCTTCTTCTTCTTCTTCAAAATCTTATTATTCTTATTGATTCTCCCTATTCCCTTTTATTTTTCCCTTATTTCGTGTTCATCATCGTCTTCCGCTTTTATATTTCGAATTTTGTCTTCTCCCTATTCCCTTTAATTTCGTGTTCATCATCGTCTTCCGCTTTTATTTTCGCCCAATTTCTTTTTAATCTTCTTCTTCTTCTTCTTCTTTTTAATCGTTATCAATCTTATTATTCTTATTGCATTCTCCCTATTCCCTTTATTCTTATTTCTTTCTTTATTCTTCCTTTTCTTCTTGTCCACTATCTTTTATTGTTAAACCTTTCCAAACATTTTTCATTTTTTTTTCTTATTTTTTTTATTTCCTTCTTTATCTTATATTCATGTATAAATCTTTTTTGTTTATTTTTATAATTCTTCTAATCTCTTCCAATAACACCCTTTTTATTCATTCTACATTTTACCTGTATACCTCATTCTTATCTTCATTCCTTTATTTCTATTACTTTTGTTCTTTCTTTCTTTCCTAATTATTTCGTTCTTTTATTTCTTTTTTTTCTTTTGCTATTTACATTTCGTCATTTGTTTTTTCTTTCTTCGCTTTCATTTAGGATTTATCTTTTTATACATTTGTCCTTTTACACTGCCTTCTTTTCTTTTAACAATATTTTCTTGAAAGAAAATCAAAATTCCTCAATTTGCATTGGTTTCTTTTGAAGAAAGAATTGGTTTTGATTTTCTTTCGAATATTGTTATGAAAAAGAAGTGAATGACGTAGAAAGAACAAAGATGGTGTTTGGAAAAGGTTTAGATAAAGAAGAAGATGAAGAAGAAGAAGAAGAAGAAGAAGAAGAAAGAAGAAGAAGAAGAAGAAGAAGAAGAAGAAGAAGAAGAACACTATAATTGCTAAGGTGAAAGTATAACGAAAAGATGGAAAGTACATAGATACAGGCAATGGGAAAAAGAAAGCAAAAAAAGAAAAAAACGATTGAAGAAAAAAAAATGAAGACGATGTAGGGACGAGTGAATCAAAAGAAAATAGTTTTTAAAAAAGTAACGGGAAGCCTAGTGAACAATTGAAAGATGTAGAAAGAAAAATTGAAGAAAAGATACCACAGAGAAAGGACTAAATTATGAAGAATTATAAAAACAGGGATAAAGATCTGGAATTCTGAGAATTACAGTATTCATCAGACAAGAAAAGATTAAAGAAAGTGTAGGATAAAAAGAAAAGAAAAGACAGGAAAAGTGATAAAAGAAAGAAGAGAATAAAAAGGATGAAACTGAAACTATAAAAGAAGGAGAAGATAAATAAATGAAAAGAAGACGATAAAAAGAATTAAACGAAACCAAAAAAAGGAATGGGAAGAGGCGTTAGAGAAAGAAGACAATAAAAAGAATTAAGCGATAAAAGAAAGATAGGAATAAATAGAAATAAATGATAAAAGAAAGAACTGAATAAAAAGAAAGACGTGATAAAAGAAACATAGGAATGAATGGAAGAAAGAAATAAAAAGATTTGAGAATCGAAAAAATAAAGTACAAAAGCAAGAAGGCTTAAACGAAACATAGAATTAACATAAAGAAGCGATAAAAGAAAAAATACTTAAAAAGAAATAAGTGAGAAATAAATAATCGAATAAAAAGAAAGAAGCGATAAAACCAGACGAAAATTAAAATCAAGAAGCGATAAAAGAAAAAAAAAGGTCCAAAATGTAGTCAGCTTAAAAGACCAGAATAAAAATAAAAGAGTAAATTTATCAATATTACAAGACTAAGATGAAAAAGAAGAAAAGAAAAAAAAAGCGAAAGTAAAGGAAACAAACGAAGAAAAGGAAAGAGAAAAAAATATATTTATTTGCGTCATTCTAGCCACAACCCTACGATATTAATGAAGGTAATAGTATTGTTGATAATGATAATAATTATTTGAAATATTCAAATTTGAAAATACGAAAAAAGATGTAAAAACAAAAATTAATAAATGAAACCATGACAATATCAGCTTGAAAAAGCAAGTATCGTAAATTCAAAAAAAAAAGTTAGGTTAAAACTAGAATCAACTGTAATATAAATTGATTGATTTATTCAAAATACGTGTTTAAATTCGGCAGGTAATCAATACAAATAATACTCGTGAGTAACTGAACAGGGAAAAACAGATATATATTTTTAAAATTTATTATTTAGTAGAAGTATCTTTAAATTTAAACATGTCGACGCACCAGAATCTTTCGGACAGAACTTTAAAATAACATTTCGACCTGTCCGTCATTCTTTATTGAAGATCCTAATAGAGTTTTATTTGGTTTGAAAAGAAGGACTCGTATAGATATGTAAGATATGCTCGTGGCGTAGTGGTTAACATGTTCGAAAGTGAGTTTGGTAGGCCGAGTTCAAACCTCGGATAGTTGCGTTTACTTAACCCTTGACTCTATGGCTTCTCTTCCACCACAGAAAGCCGGTAACAAATCTAGAAAAAGCAATGCTCGTATATCAAATGTAGAGAATCTGTAGGATCATTTAAAAAAAATATATATTCATTGGCTCCATTCAGCCATATAAAACGATATATATAATCATTTTTTTAAAAATATGATTACTTCGCTACATAAGAGTTCTCATGTTTCAAAAACGAGATCCGAAAACCTCAATATAATTATTAAAATTAAATTGAGTTAATGTATCAAGCCCTGTAGGTAACTGTCTCCAGGGTGGTGGTGAATATCTTCTTGAGTTCTGGTTTTCTAAACTTACTCTTCTCATGGACATACTGGGGCTTCACAAAAATATTTCCCGAATACGCACAACCATCTCTTCCGAGGCTAATGGTTGTCCACATCCTTTTGTCATGCACGATTTGCTGCATCATGTATTGGGAAACAGTCTACAGGACGGCAGTAACTATATGCTTTTGTTTGGTTCCAAACTTGCTCTTCTTATCGACATCCTGTGGCTTCACAAAAATATTTCCCGAACTCACTCGACCATCTTTTCCGATACTGTTGGTCATCCAGTTCTTTTTTTGCTCTTCAGACAGCCTTCTTCATTTCTCTTTTAGTGACATGTCCAAATCTGAATTGCTATTGGTGCAAATATACGCTGCATATTCTTGTTCAACTGTGTCCGAGCATACTCTGCCACCCAAAACACGTTTTCTTTTTTAGTGAATGGCGTTTCTCTTTCTGAAAAAAAGTATAATTTTAAGTTCTTTCTACACATTCTGTTAGAACGAGAATTCGTAAGATTATCAGATAACGAAATTATATCGTTTCTTTTTAAAAACTTGTATATGATTAAGCGTGGGTGTCTGGATGATGATGATGGCCTCAAACTAACTGCCAACGGACGGCCAAGGAAAAGGTCGATCCAGGTAAGATGGTATTTCCCCAACCTTCGAAATCCTTACGGCACGCATGTAATTGTGTGTAGTCATTAACAGTCTGTGGCATACGAAATGGCTTTCAGCATCAGACAACATTGATCCATTGACAAGGTAAATCAAGACAGGCTTGTGTAACATAAAGTTTTATTAGTCTGACGGAAAATCACAAGAAATGTTAATCATTATATCTCCAGGAGACTGACTCGTTACGCCAACTCAAGCTAACATTTTCGGCTGAAATGAAGTGGAATGATTATATCGAATCAAATGTTAGGTCTGTTGCTAAGAAAGTTGCTTTACTGCGTCGGGCTAGACAATGTTTCCGACTCAAATCTATCTTAACGATTTCTATGTCTGCAATTTGTCCATGCTTTGAATGTTGCTGCGAAATATAGTCTGCTACTTCTGCTATGCATTTACAGATTCTTGATAAAATGAAAAGAAGTATCTGCAATTTTATTGGTCTTGACCTGGTATATCGGCTTCAATCATTCCCCACCTTGTAACGTAGCTTTCCTGTGCCTTTTGTATAAATAAATTCATAGTGATTGCCATTATTAATTTTTTTGTGGAACCTAAAATTTATCACTTGAAGGGTTGTACTACATCGACGGCAAGATCACATCATTTTACACTTGAAATGGCTAGATGAAAGCGCAAGTTCTGTGCTAATAATCTCGTTTGCTGCACTTCTAGATTGTGGACAACTCTTCCAGCTTCTTGCTTCACAGTCAACTTTGGTCTTCAAAGATTTAAATGCAATGCCAATCGTTATCTTCTGTATGCTTAACTCCTGTTCTTTTATTTTTCTCTCGCCTTAATAGAGTTTTCCTCCTATATTTTCCAACGGTCAGTAATCCTTTTGCCTCTTAATGTCTTTATTGCCATTCTTTCGTGTGAAATAAAAGAAAAATAATATCACGTGATCACTTCTAATGCTTACAGTACATGATCTTCACAAGCGTACCTCCCTTTATCTCTCTTTCCCTATCACACACTCTCTCTCTGCCCTCCCCACACATATCTCTCTCTCTCTCTCTCTCTATATATATATATATATATATCGTATGAAAAATTAGGAGATCAGGTGATCCCGCTACCTTGGTTTCAAACTTGCGAAATCTTCGGGCTATTTTTTTTTTAATTAATGAACCTTTTTTGTTTAAGAATAAGTAGATAAACGCAAGACGTGAAGAGTGATAGAGGGGGAGGAGGAGGAGGGGGGTTTGGAAGGAGGGAAAAGAAAAGCAAGGGTATTGTAAATGTATTGGTGGGTGGGCTAAATAAAATTTACATCAGTCGGTTATGTGCCATGCGTGATACACGCTTAGACGATCATGTATCTTTCGATACATGACTGATGGGGCAGATTTTTTTCCCGCAGTAGTTTGCCATTTATTTCTGCGGTAGACTAGTTGAAATCCAAGTCTATAGAACGCGGTCTGTCCTACTATTTACCCATAGATGGGTGGGACAAAGAAGACGATTCATACCTTTCACAAGGGTATTAGTATGTAAGTGAATTTCAGTCAGTTATGTTCCAGACGTGATACACACGTAGGCGATCATGTAGTTTTCGATACACGACTGACGAGGCAGATATTTTTTTCCCGCAGTAATTTGCCATTTCTTCTTGCGGTAGTCCAGTTGCCATCCAAGGCTATAAAAACCAGTTTGTATGCTATTTATTCCTCGCTGGGGAGAGAAAAAGCGGATTCTCACCGTTCCCAAGGGTATTAGCAAGTAAGTGAATTTCAGTCATTTATTTGCCATTCGTGATACACGCTTAGACGAGGCAGATATTTTCTCGCAGACAGTTCTCACTTCTTTCTGCGTTAGACCATTTGCCACCCAAGCTTATAGAAACCGGTCTGTCCTGCTATTTACCCAAACCTGGGTAGAGAAGAGGATTAATACAATTCCCAAGAGTTTTAGCACATAAGTTACATATTTTCTTTTAATCCGGTTACTTACGAATTCAAATGGTACTTTTCATTTTGTATACAACGTGTCATAATTTCTGGGCTCTCATTCAAAAATTGGTGGGGGAGCTGGAAATGTTATTTTTTCTAACTTTTGTTGACAAATTTTGCAGATATTATGTTGTAATTTTTTTTTTTTTTTTTTATTTTCCAGTTCACAATATATATATATATATATATATATATATATATATATATAATATAAAATGAAAATATTAGTGATCAGTATGGATATTTCTAAAAGTATATAAATCCAGGAGAACTCTATGTCATAGACAGAGCAATACTCATTATTATAAAAGGCACGAACACTTAAAATTTCAAGAGGTTATATTTAATCCATTAGGGTTGAAAAAACGACCCCAATTCATGAGACCTTCAAATCCAAAAAAAAATATTTATCTAGGCTTAAATAGTTTAATATTTAAAATTTTTTTTTTTTCTTTTTTTTTTGGATATGAAATATGAATTGGGTCCGATTTTACGACCCTTATGAAATAACTATAACCTAATGAAATTTTAAGTGCTCCTGGGTGTTTCTCATATATATATATATATATATATATATATATATATATATATATATATTAGTAGACCTTCAAGAAAGCAATAACAGTTTAGTGCGCTAATCTCATTTGGTAGGGATTCTCGGAGTTCTGTTTACCACAATCACACGAGTTAGTAAATTTATTTTATCGTAACAACATATTATATTTATGCACCATAAAGAGAAACGTTCAATACAGATTTCACATATCAAAATTTAGTAAGATTTTTATGTATTTTTTAGGTGATTTTGTGTTTAATTTTAATCATGTGCTCCAAACAAGAAGACGAAAACAATTAAGATGAAGGAGATATTAACAGAGAAAAAGCGCATAGGACAGTAAAAGTACCGTGTTCCCGGAGACGGAAGTTGAACCAGGAAAGTCGTAATTAACAGAAAAGCAGGAAACTGGAATAAAGTCATAGACAGAAGCTTGAGTGCGAAGAACAATTACCATAAAACATACAACTAAATGCAGTATATATATATATATATATATATATATATATATATATATATATATATATATATATATATGACCTGACGTCTAGCATGTAACAGACTGTCGCCTCTAAGGCTGATTTCTATGTTCACTTTTATATTTACACATTTACACATTTTAGTAAAACGTTTGATAAAAATGAATCGTAACGTTTTTATTATCAAACGTTTTATTATTGACAAGCTACAGGGAATTTCTCGAATAGAAAAATCTCTCGAGGAGCGAAATAGCTATATAAATGAAGTACAATTCAGTTTCATTTTTATGTAATTCATTTATACAGTCAATCCTCTTTTGTGGATCAGTTTTAATATGTTATACTACTTGGATTACTTACCCACGGATGTTTATATATATATATGTATATATATATATATATATATATATATATTGGGTTACCAGATAATTACTCGAACATATATTGTTAAATATAACAGAGAATGAATATTTGTTATGTTTGATCA